ACGATGCATGTGATGTTTGAGTTTTATTCCCCCTATATACCTGCAGCGTTTTATCTACTTTGCGAAGAAACTATACTAAGTGACATATAAATCCGAACACCCAGTTTAAATGGTTTTATTTTAATAAAATTTTGTATAAGTACTTAATGAAGCATAATAAGTAAATGATAAAAATTTCAAAATGATTGCACTGCTTTAAATCCCTTTGACCTTTACTAATGTGTGGATGCACCCTGATGTGCTACGCATTCTCCAACGCGCCTAGGCATGCTTCTAATCCGGTGGTCAATGTCCTCCTGTGGTATCTCATTCCAGGCAACCACCAACTCCTCTCGAAGTGCTTCTAGAGTCTGAGGAGGACGTTGCAAAATGAGCAATCTCCTACCCATCATATCCCACACGTGCTCAATTGGGGATAGGTCGGGAGATCTTGGTGCCCATGGTAACAATGTGACATCATTATGTTGAAAGAAGTCTATTGTGACTCTTGCAACATGTGGTCGGGCATTATCTTGTTGGAGAGTTGGATCTGCCAGGGTGTCAAGATAGGGTAAAAGATGGGGTTCTAGAACTTCGTGGATATAACGCTGCGCGTTCATGTTACCTCTGATGAAGATTAAAGGTAACCTGGAGCCATAAGCTATAGCACCCCAAACCATAACTCCAACAGTGTGATGAACATGTCTTTCAACAAAAAACTGTGGATTCCTCCTTTCACCACGTCGCCTTCTAACCCTGGCACGACCATCGTGCATGCCTAAACAAAATCGAGACTCGTCACTAAAGACAATACTGTTCCATTCCTGATCCCAGAGTGACCGTTGTCTGCACCACTCAAGGCGATTACGTCGGTGTTCTCGAGTTAAAGGGAGGACCCAGTGTGGCCGGTATGAAAACAAGCCAAAACTTCTCATTCGTCGGTAAACACTTCGCATGCCAATAGGTCTTCCGTGTTCTGCAAACCATTCATTTGCAATGGGCCTGGTAGTGGAGAAACGGTCCCTTAAGGCCAATAGGCCAATAATCTTAGGCGGCGATCTTCACGGTCTGTTGTTCTACGGCGGCATCCAGTGCCACTTGCTTTTTGCGTACGGCCTTCTCGAAGCCTTGCCTGACAACACCTAACCACAGTGTCTACACTTCTTTGCACTCTAACTGCAATTGCCCGAAAAGAAAGTCCAGCTTCCCGAAGTCCCACTATACGGCCCCTATCAAACTCACTAAGTTGACGAAATCGTACAGGTCTCCGTACTCTAGGCATCGTAACCGATCGTAAAGGATGTCAAGAACCAAAATCCGCCAACGTTGATTCTTTACTGCGGCTGAAATATTCATTTTTAGAGCGTTAGTGAATTAAAAGAAAGCAGTATAAAAACCGGAATGTCCAACTGATAAGGATGGAAATTTTTTCACTTGTTATTTACAGTAAGATAAATACATCGACCAACTTTTATTAAAATAAAACCATTTAAACTGGGTGTTCGGATTTATGTCACTTAGTATATTTAGGGTACTTGATTATCTGATAGATAGATAGATTTTACACTTATTCATGATTTCTATTATACAGTTGCAACATAAATTTACTGGTCCATGTATTGGCTATACCTTCTTTGGACCCATTGTTCTACACTTATTTAGTTACATTGTTTTATATGTAGTTTAGGTAAATAAATATTATTGTTAAAAAATGTTATAGCGGTGCAATACAAACGTTTCGAATGAATGCCGAGAAATCGTGAACGCCTAGAAATTGTGTGAAATCGACACAGTTTTAAAGAGCTAACGATCCGGTTCATAAAGTCTCAAACTCCGGCCACCGTCTCTCAACTAATCGATTCTATCTCCATGAATACAGTATATCATGTGCCGTAATAATTTATTTGTGTTGATGCACATACATTCGCCGGTCACTAAAAATGTCTGCCAGCAGCAATACAATTTACTGGCGGAATTGTACTGGAAAGCAACTCGTTATAAACCCCAAAAATAACTTTACAGAAACCTGTACTCCCTAACTAAGTCATCTTTCCAGCGATTCATAAACAGAATATATCAATTATTTTACCTGAAAACTAGTTCCAAGGGGTGGAGGAGGGTGTATTGCAATTTTTTGTTGTTAGTATACAGGTTGTTCTTTAATGAAATGCGAATATTTAAGGGTGTGAATAAACATGAAAAATTAATGTTAGTTTGCTATGGGGGCCATTTTCAACAATCTGTGTAATCATTTCGTTGGTTTTAATGTCATGTTCATGTTGTCAGTTGTTGTTGTTCATTACCCCTAATATGTTTAATTTTTCCAATTAAATTAATAATAATTTTACAAGTTAAACAATAGAACGGTTTTTATTTTATTACTCAAAAATGGCGCATCGAAGGAAAACAATTCAAGAGAGATCATTTGATTTAAATTGAACGGGCAATTCAAAAATAATTTTTATTTGTCAAAAAACCATTGGCGTACCATTTTTTTCTTAAAAAATATCGAAGTCAATACCCTTACGCACGCCACTGTTAAAGCTAAATATTATTTTTGCATTGTAAAATATACAACTTTATTAACTTTCACTACGTACTAAATATCAGTGAAATAACTGAAGCGGTTCAGAAAATATTAATTAATTTCCATTTTTTCCCTAAAACTTCAACACCCCGAGCTTTTGCAAGGAAACATTTTTGAACCATAGCTTATAAAGGCAACTAACATTAATTTTTCATATAGATTCACACCATTAAATAATCGCATATCACACACGGTGTATTAATACTGTTCCAACCCTGATAATTCTACGCACCTATTACACCTCTTTATTGATACTAGAGATGTAAGTAATATTTACAACCCCAATCCCCAATTTTCAACCCTTTCAATATTTTGCAACGAAGTATAAGTGATTTTTATTTCTTATTTTTCCGCCCCCTACTCCGCCGCCAATGGGCCGATTTCGAAAAACTACAAATCTTTTTCGACCAGTCCTTGGCGTCGTAATAACGTTGTGTAAAAATTTCTTCAAAAGTTCTAGGCTGTTATAATACAAATATTAGCGGTCAGTGACATGTTTTCTCGTGATGTACATTTTGGAAATTTTTCACGATTACAATATTTTCTTGCTCAGTGGCGTAGGAAGAAAAACCCTATTGAGAGAACAAGAAGATAACTAACGCCACTTATCGCTAATTTCACCTTACCAGAACTGATTTATCGTTATTCACTTGGCCTTAGCAGTCAAAGATTTTGCACCGAATTCAGCCTTATTTTAGATGGAAAGCAGCAACATATTTTTTGCGCAATTCATTATTTGTTAATTAAGAATGGCAGTTTAAGTTTTCATCTGTTCTTTGTCCGACAAAGTAAGAGACTAACTTCAATGTTATGCTTGATTCTAGAAGAATAAGTATAAATAAAAAAAAACACTTTCTAGTTACGAACGACATTTTAAAGAAAAAAGAAAAATTGAAACTGATTCATCTGTTTAAGCGCTACAATACTTGGTCAAGTACACAAAGGTACCTTAAACTTATAACACCACATACCTGTGGTCATCAGTTCATGAAGGATTAAGTTCAGCACATGTTACACCCATCGAAATAAGACACAGCCACATCCTTACATCTTGGATAGAGGATAATTGCTATGTCGCGTCGCCTCTTCCCAATATCTGAAAGACACACGCGGCAGAGCGCCTACATGGCACCAGTGATGCAGGATACACTCGAACATAGGCGCGCCGGCCGCGGCCGTTGAAGTCATCAGCCGCAGGGATGCTTGTAGAAATACGTTTTAAGGAAAAATGTACCGAGCAATCTATGTGTAATAGGTGTATATACAGGGTGTCCGCAAAGTTGGGGTTTTCCTTTTCAGAAACAACTACCCTTGAAATAACAAAGGTAATGTGTAGTGAAACGAGGGCGACCAAGTAAAAAAAAATAAAGGAAAAAGTACTCACTCTCCAGTTGACGAGAAGGGCTAAGTACGTCTCTGCCCGAAATCATACCGCTCCAACAGAAAATGAAATCAGCTGATGCGCTACCGAGCAGACGCCGGCGATGGTGCAGACCACGCTACGCGTCCATTCATTCAAAAACTCACGCACTTCGCGTCTAAAATGGGGCGGTGCACCATCGTGCAGAAACCACATTGATTGTCTTACATTAATGGCACATCTTCTAACAAGGAAGGCAAAATGTTGCGTAAAAAGTCTAGGTACTGCATCCCGTCCAATCGATTTGGGAGAATAAATGGTGCAATGAGCATACCGTTCACCATGCCAGCCCAAACATTCACCGAAAATGTTTGTTGAAAATGTGCCCGACGGACAGCGTGCGGATTTTCTACTGACCAAACATGAGTGTTGCGAAAGTTATTCACCCCATTACGCGTGAACGTAGATTCGTCTGTCACCAATATGCACTTCAAAAAGTCCGGATTATTGTCATGTTGATGCAGCAACCACTCACAAAACCGCACTCTTGCTGGAAAATCGTCAGGTTGAAGGGCTTGTACACGTTGGACGTGAAACGGATACAGCCCCTCTTCACGCAGCGTTTGCCACACTTTAGTTTTTGATACTTGCACTTCTCTAGAAACGTCTCTAGTGCTGGTTGTTTTTTGAAACGCAATCGATTATACGGGTTCGTTTACCTCTACCCGCGTGACCGTAACCGTCGGTTGAAGGTTGCATACTGACCTGACACACTGACCCCGACCCAGTTCTGTCGTCGGGTTGAGCCAGTGACTTTGTACCACTCGGAGATGTCGCGGCTACAGGACGGTATTCAGATATTTTTGATGTTGCAGAGCCCTTTATCTCGGTTCCCTTAAGACATTGGTGTATATGGTACTAAGAACAATTGCTTATGTTTTCAAGATCTACACGTCGTGTAAAGGAAAACCTCAACTTTGCGGACACCCCGTATTTACCCCTTACAACCACCGCCTCCTAATTTTTGCACCTTGAGTCAGATGACCATGATATACATGACGATTTTTGTTACAGGATTCAGGGGTGGGCACTCCGGTTACCTTGCGAATCGATCCGCACGGCTTCTATCTATATTGGGTGGACCAAAATCATGAAATGGATCTGCTGGACATCGCTATCATCAGGGACATGAGGACTGGCCGATATGCTAAGATACCAAAGGTAAGTTAGAATTTCTGTGAACGTTCCCGTGTATCGACTACCGCCTGGATTCACCTGTGTCTTTGGGGCATTTGCAATGTTCGTGACAGCAACATCCTTAATCCAAGGATCGCGCCAAGAGGCTTTGTCTATACCGACTCTCGAAAACGGTGAGAGATACGAAGTCGCTTATTCTGAACAAAGTTGCGTATTCAGGGAACTAACAAAATGCCGCATAAAAAGTTTCGAAATACAAAATAATTCCGGAGAGATACGGAAAAAACCCGAATTTTTCCAAAGTCGTTTCAATTTTTCCTGACTATTTGTATTGGTACTACAAAATAGAAACTACATCAATATTGCCACTTTTATGACTTACAAGGTGGCATAATCAGACTTTCAATATGACGTCTCATCTTTTATTCCCCAGCATCAACTTTATTTTTTCTTATAGACACTATATTGGGTTATTAACACGCTTTTATTAGCTTGGCCTGCAGGGTTGAAAAAAAACATGTACCTATTTTTTATTTTATAAAAAACATTTGTTTTTGTTTTAAACATGTTTTTCTGTTTTTAAATTTTATGTTTTAAAAAACTGAAACTGTTTAAATTATATTTTTTCATAATACTAATTGAAAATGTTCGACCTATTATTCTACTAAATAATAGATACCTCATTTAAAGTCCGGCTCTGTACTAAACTGTCGCGAACAGCTATTACGAACTACGACGCGCTACGCCGGTGAATCCCCGAAGTAACAAAAACCAATCGCAATGAAGAACTATTGTCTTGGGTGGACCACAGACTACTATTCATAAATTCGCCTTGCAAGTTGGCTATTGCAATAACGTCTACTGTACGTTATTTTGTGGTGTTCTTTTTTTGAAAAATGTCATCTACAGGAAGGAAGAAAGATGCCATTTGGTCCTGTTTTGATGTTGTTAAAGATAATAACCAAAAATCAGTGTCTGCTAAAAGTAAAAAATGTAAAGCAATTATGGCTGGACTAGTGCTGCATATGAAGAAACATTCGAAAATGTGTTCCATCTGAAAATTCTCAGCTACCAATGTCAATTATGTATGATTCCGAGTCAGAGGAGGATTTAACGCTAGATGAGATATCCAAAACTCAAAAATATTCAAAGAATGTTTTTCCAGATAATAATACAGGTAACTTTGAATTTTAATGTTTTACCAATTTAAAGACAAATACCCAAGACTATTTAAAAAAATTAAAGTATGTCGCATTTGCTTTGGACAAAGTCCAAAGAAACACTTGCACTAGAGGAGAGGCTACAGAGATAATAATAATAATGCCTTTATTAACTGCAGTGAGGCGAAGTTTAACCAAACGGCTACTCTTACACTCAACCCCACAACAGGAAAAAAGAATACTTACACACATAAACAAAATAATAACATACCAAAAAAAATACAATTCGTAAGAATGACAACATTGATTGCACGAGACAAATGCAGATAGCATTGCGAGAGTTTTAAATTTGAAACAAAAATAGTAGAAAATAGTCAAACAAAAAAAAAATAAAATCACATGAGCACAAGAAAAACTGAACTAAATGGACTCCAGCAGCTGACTTTTCATTAATTTCTTAAAAGAAACAACCTGTTTGGATCGATAGCCACTGTTGACTGCATTGTAATGCTTGACAGCATTATAGGTGTAACTTCTTTCAAAGACCGAGGTATTGTGAGGAGGCATGTTGAAATTAGCATTAAATCTAAGCGCTCTGGTAACAAAATTACCTCGGTGAACTAATTTGCTAGCGAGGTAAGCTGGTCTGTTAGATAATAGAACTTTATGTGTGAAGACGGTCAAAAGATATAAAAATAACTTATCAATTCGCAACCAGTTGAGTTCTTTGATTTTATCTGAGACGCGACTAAACTTGCGCAATCCAAAAATAAACCTACAACAGCTGTTCTGAATTTTCTGGAGTTTCCTTTTGTGGACGTAGTCTAAACATGGGTAATACAGAACAAGAGAGTAAGAAATGACAGACAACACAAGACTTTCAGCAAACTTTTTTCGGGTTTTAAAATTCAAGATGTATCGATTAGAATAGAGGAGTTTCAAACGCAAATACGTTACTCTAGAGAAGAAAGAGACGTGCCGATCGAATCTCATATTTAAGTCAAGGGTAACACCGAGATTCTTGGCGTAATCCACAAAAGGGATGAGTGTCTCATCCAAAAAAACACAAATCCTCTGCTTCATTTCACGGTAGGAGTTCTTCGAACAGTACAACATTGCAGTAGTTTTATTAGGATTGATCTTCAAGCAGTGTTTGTTACAGTAATCACCGATGTTAGCCAGATCTAAATTAACTTTAAAAGAAACTTCATCAACCTTTGATGGATCGAAACCAAACACTAACTGAGTATCATCTGCATAAGTTTGCATACTACAGTGGACTAAACAGTCTTGCAGATCGATCGTATAAATCAGATATAGTAAGGGACCTAATACTGAGCCCTGAGGAACTCCTGAAGGAACTGGATCAGAGGTGGAAATTCCCTGATCAGTTTTCACTGTTTGTTGACGATTTAGCAAGTATGACTCAAAGAACCTATATCTGACATTCCATAATGAGATAACTTACTCAGTAGTATCTGGTGATTGACCATATCAAAGGCTCTCGAGAAATCTAACAGTACCAAGACGGTGTTGATGTGATTATCTCAATTGTGAATGATGGAATCAGTAAGATGTAATAAAGACTAAGTAGTGCTGTAACCAGCTCTGAAACCTGACTGATGTAGAGGAAATAAGTGGTTTTATTCGAAAAACTCCACTAGTTGTGAGTAGTCAGCTCTTTCGAGTATTTTTGATAGAAAGCATAATAAGGTAATTGGCCTGAGATCCGAATATTGTTCTGGATGATTAGTTTTAGCTATTGGAATAATAATACCATTTTTCCAACTGGCAGGAAAGTAACCTGTTTCGAGACAGACATTAATAATGTGAGTTATATGGTCTATGGTATCAGGCAAACATAAGCAAACCATATTTAAAGTTAGACCATCAGAGCCACATGCCGTAGACTTAATGTGAGAGATTATATTGACGATGTCTTGCTGAGTAAGGAGTTTAAAAGCAAACAGAGGTGCATCCGGTGTATGGCGTCTATCGCTATAAGATTTAGAGACACTATCAATCAAATTTGTATCAGCTGCAGCTGTCCGGAAAATTGAAAGAAAATAATTATTTAAAATGTTAGGCTCAAGGAGACTGGGAGGTATCGCAACATGTTTCTGGGCTACCACATTCATCCTCCTCAGGTGTTTCCAAGCTTGACTAGAGTTAAGATTCCGGAAACGTGACGTATATGCTTTTTTCTCTCTTCTAAGCGATGCAAGGGCATAATTTCTCAAATCTTTGTAGCTGGCCCAATTCTGATCAGATCTGTTATGCTGATAGACAGCGAATGCCTCATCTCTGAGTTGAAAAATCATTTTCAAGTTAGGAGTGAGCCAGGGCGCAGCAGGTTTTGTGACACGTTCTGTACGTAGCGGAGCGTACAGATCGAATAGATAAAGAAGACGGCCAGTAAAAATAGAGACTTTAATATCCACATCATTCACGAAATAAATGTCATTAAGCTGCATTGATGCAATCTGCGTCTTAAAACTTTGAATATCAATGCTATTAATATTTATATATGTTACAAATTTAGGCTCTATTTTTTCGGAAATATCACAGTATGTGAGCCGATGATCACTAATTGAGTCTGCATTGAGTGTCCCTGACCTTTTGACGATAGTATTGTCACTAACAAATATTGGATCAAGTAATGTGAAACTGAAGGCTGTAACACGTGTAGGCTCATCAATGACTTGAATGAAATTGAATGAATCAAAGCAGCTGCTGAGGATGTTGTTATGAGCAAGCAAGTCGACATTCAAATCGCCCAAGAATATAATGTTGTCATATTGGGGAGTGAAAAGTGAGATAAGATTTTCTAAACACTGGATGGCTTGATGTATAGAGCAATGTGGTGGCCTATATGTAACAACAAGTAACGTACTGGACCCGTGCAGTTTAAATTTATAGCATAACATTTCAAGAGGATTTATAAAGTCATCGAGCTCAACTGGGATAAGATTAGTGCTAATATCTAATTTAACATAGAGGCCGATGCCACCCCCTCTGCTCCCACGGTCCTTACGGAAGAAATTATACCCAAGTATATTGACTACAGTGCTGTCAATACTGGAATGCAGCCATGTTTCAGTGACTGCACAAACTTATATTGAACAAGAGAGGCAAAATCATTAAAGTGAGCACATTTAAGTGACATAGTTTCAAGACACTTTTTATAGTGTTAGCCATAATCCACCCTTTCTTAAAGAGTTTGAACATAATTGAGAAACACAGGACAGTTTGGAAAATTAGCCGAATGATCAACTGGTAGAATCTTCTTGTATACCTTGTTATGGTTCAGGCAATTTGCGCATTGTAGGGCGCTCGAGTTACACTCCTTGATTTTATGATTTCGCGTACACCTTGGGCTAGAATTTTTAGAAGCATTCGAGACTGAACGAGCAAATGGAGAATTTTCGGTAAGTGATACGAATAACTTCGAGGAGCGTATGAAAATGGCTTTGAGCCCAGCTCACTTTTTGGCAAATTTGCTTGATCATCGCTTTAGAGGCAATAAACTTACTCAAGGGCAAATAGAAACTGGCATGGAATATGTAGAAACCTATCATCCAGAAGCATTGCCAATTATTATTAGTTACTATGGTTATTATTGTTATTACCATCAATAATAAAATTTTCATTTCGTGTTCAGGCTTCACTATACCTTTTCATTTCCTTGTGGCCATTATGACCATGGCCATTTAGGGAAATGTATCACTGAATTTAGGACTTTTAAATGTACAAAATATAGCGAGCTTATGAAACAACAAAGCTGGTAATGAAAGTCAGAATAAGAAACCGCTCAATTGAAAATTTGACTACACCTTCTTATAGAAGAGAAACAGTTCCAAAAAC